CCCTTTAGTCCCTTAGTCCCTTAGTCCCTTTAGTCCCTTAGTCCCTTTAGTCCCTTAGTCCCTTAGTCCCTTAGTCCCTTTAGTCCCTTTAGTCCCTTAGTCCCTTAGTCCCTTTAGTCCCTTAGTCCCTTAGTCCCTTTAGTCCCTTAGTCCCTTAGTCCCTTAGTCCCTTTAGTCCCTTGGTCCCTTAGTCCCTTAGTCCCTTTGTCCCTTTAGTCCCTTAGTCCCTTAGTCCCTTTAGTCCCTTAGTCCCTTAGTCCCTTTAGTCCCTTAGTCCCTTAGTCCCTTAGTCCCTTTAGTCCCTTAGTCCCTCTGTGTTGGTAAAAATGAGGTGTTATTTTTTTTTTCAAAATTCAATTTGAAATAAAAAAACCCATAGACTCATTAAATGAGAAGAAAACAATAGTTTCTTTGCAAATATATGTCTTAAAGTCATTGATAGTATTAGGTAGATACTTTGAAGTTTTTTGGAAGGTTGATCTTCATCACAACAAAATAATTCCATTTCACAAAAAAATTAGTTTTTCGTTTTCACGCTAATTATTCTTCCAACTCAGAAAAAAAATGCTGTTGCCTTTATCAGTAATGCATTGAAAGCTGAATCTTTTGGATAAGAAAATTGAGTAAAAAAACTAATGAAAATCGAAAGAAGTATGCATAAAATACTGAGAGACTTATTTTTTCGGCGAAACTCAGTGGCATTGATTAGAGGAAAAGAAAACTGACGTACAAATGACTTGAACTATTTTCTAGGCAAATCAACTTTGCTACCGGCTTTACTTGCTGCGGAAGGCTACGATAAAATTATTGTTACACAACCTCGACGTTTACCCTGCACGTTGATTTCTGAACGTGTCAATAAAACAATGACAACAGTGAAAGATCCTTTTTCTCAGAAACTCGCAGGTTGGGCTGTTAGTGGCTCTGAATATAATCAAAATGGAAAAGTTCTATATTTGACTGATGGTTTGCTTAAAGAGCGTTTACTCTACGATGAAAATTTTATTTCAAAAGATACAAAACTAAATAAATCAATCGTTTTTTTTGTCGACGAAGTTCACGAACGCTCAGTAAATATCGACCATTGTTTAGCATTATTAGCTCGCATTTTAACGTTGAACTCGGATTTAAAATCAAAAATAAAATTAATTATTTCGTCTGCTACTTTGGATACATCTGTGCCAAAGCTTTTTCGTCAAATACCACAAATAAGATTTGCGAAATTTGAAATGCCACAAATGCATACTCTATATCCTGTTACCAAATGTGCTCGTCCGAATGCAAATATATTGAATATTGTACAAGAGTTCTATCAAGAACGCAGTCGATACGATCAAATTCTCTGTTTCGTTAGTTCAGTCAAAGAAGTCAACGAATGTTGTAGTTTATTGAAAAAGATTACTGGTGGAGCCATCACCGCTTATCCACTTGTTCAATCACAACAAGCATCTGTCCAACAAGAGTATATTGATAAAGGAAGTGTGTTTTTTTCGACAACAGTCGCTGAAACTTCGCTAACATTTCCTCAACTAAAGTACGTCATCGACACGGGCTTGATTAATGTACCTGTTTATGATTCGAATTCGAAGCGAACGGTATTAAGAGTCGTTCGTGCAGCAGAATCGACAATAAAACAACGCTTAGGGCGATTGGGTAGAACACAACCAGGTACTTATATTTCATTGTACGATTTCAAAGTCGAAGATAAACAATATCCAACGCCACAAATATGTCAATCGGATTTAGTGAATATCGAATTTTCACTGCGAAAATCACCATTGCAGAAAGGATTGAATTATATGAAAGACTTCTTACCAGATAAACCGTCGCAACCTCTTATTGATCATACAGTTCAACAACTTCGTGATTTAGGTCAGTAGTCTGAATTTATTGTGTTGTATTATTTCTCTTTTTCGATGAATGGAAACTTTAGCCGTGCATATACTAACTTGAACAGTTCTGTTACGTGTTTAAAAATTAAACATGAGAAATTTTTATTGAGAACAAGTACGTAGGACGATATTAACAGAGCAAAAATGGTCTTATATAGAGAAAACTACATAATCAAATCCTTCGGAAATCTGTTGAGTAGGTGAATTGTGTCGAACTTGATATACTAAGTTCTTTGTTTCAAGGCTAAATCAAGCGAAGTTTTAAAGTCAGATTACAAAGCTTAACTAAAACAACGCACAAGTGAATGTTGTAACTCTGAAAACTGGAATGATCGGTCTACTAGTGATTTTCAATTATGAACGAATCATATCGTCCTTTTTAAACTCGAACAACATATAAGAGCAAATGTATTCAAAGTGTTTTCTTAAATTTCCCAAACAAAATAGAATAGCACTTCTATAATAGCTCATGAACCCACTAAACCGTTTAATAACACAGTTGAGTTGAAAACTTTTTTATCATTAGAATCTTTTCTCCTTTCAAATTAGAAGACTCAGCTATAAAATTTTGCTTTGCAAATCTAGAAACATGAAAACTATTAATGCCTGGTAAAAATTCATAATACATATCCGAGTTTCTCTGACTAACTTAGCAACAGAGAGAATCGAGTCACTATAATTAGTGAAATGCAAAGACAGATGACATGTTTATCAATGGTGAAAATATCTTTCAAATTTAATATGTCAAAAGGGGGGTGTAACGATTCGTAACGAGAAATTTACAGGGCTTTCGTAATACGAAAGCCCTGTCATCGTTTTTACTACAGGGCTTTCGTAACGAATTTTGACAGGGCTTTCGTAACAAATTCTGACAAGGCTTTCGTATCAAATTTTGACAGGGCTTTTGTATCAAACTTATACAGGGCTTTCGTATCGTTTTTGACAGGGCTTTTGTATCAAACTTATACAGGGCTTTCGTATCGTTTTTGACAGGGCTTTCGTAATCAAGTTCTTATTGCATTCATAACTAAAATGAAAGACTGGCACTAAAAAGAACAGGGCATTCGTTACGAATACCCATGCTTACAAATATAGCTTAAGTCATTAAGTGGGATCCATTCGTAACAAGTTTTTTATACTTAAATGGTCCAAATACATGGTACTATACTGTGAATGAATTATTTGTATACATTCATAGATGTCGTTGTTATTTCTAGTTCTCTATGTTTTTCCAGATTTGTGTACGCCTTTTTTTGTGAAAGTTGTTGACTTAAAATCGAAGAAATCAATTATGTGTATTCTTAATTCTATTATCTGGATATTGTTCTCGTTCACTCTTCTCTCTTTATGTATTGCCTGGTTTTTGGTACTTTTTGTTGTTACTAGGGATGTGCAGTTTCAGTATACTGACCACCGATAAAACCGCACTGGCGTTCACTGGTACGCTGACGACACTGACACTGAGCGCACTGTCTGCAGTGACACACCGACAATGAGCGAACTGTCTGCAGTGACGCACTGACAGTGACCGCACTGTCTGCTGTGGCACACTGACACTGACGAGGGAACACCGCCCAGGTGAAGCTCCACTTTTGACTTGATAGTGTCTCCCTGCAGACAGTGCAAATCAGTGTCAGTGTATCACTGCAGACAGTTCGCTCACCATCAGTGCCTCACTGCAGACAGTTCGCTCCCTGTCAGTGCGTCAATGCAGACAGTGACGCTCAGTGTCGGTGTGTCACTGTCAGTAATTCAGTGTTTTCACCGAAACTGCACATCCCTAGTTGTTACTAAGAAAGAGATTTACAAGAAGATAAAAATTTGTCTATACTTATATGCTGGTTCTCACTTTCTACTTTTGAACTATTTATGTTATAATTTTGCTGGATCACTAATTTCAATATGAAATCCTGTCAGCAACATCTGACTAAAGATCATACCAAATCCTTTTACGTTACGATAGCCCTGTAAGAACGGTACGAAGATCCTGTAAGACCGATACGAAGACCCTGTCAAAATTGTTACGA